CAAGGTTGCCCTTACAGCCTTTATGGGAGGACTACAGACTTCTAAGTTCCTATTTTCCTTATCAAAAGAAGCCCCTACAAGCATGACAGAGTTGATGGTTAAAGCATGGAAGCACATGAATGCTGAGGATGCTATGAATGCACGAAAAAACAAAGATGGTGAAGATAAGAGGTCGGAGAAGAAGAGGCCAGCACCTAACACTAGGGAGGAAAAGGAATCGAAGTACAAGAAATTCTCAAACAACCAGGCTGACAGATCGTCTCGCCGCCCAGTGAGCCCAGGCAGGTATAATAACTATACCCCCTAAATACATCTGTAGATCAAGTCTTTCTGCAGATTCAAGATGACGCATCATTGAAATGGCCGCCAAAGCTAAAAGCTAATCCAACAAAGAGGTCTCTAGGTAAATACTGTAGGTTTCACCGGGACCATGGACATAACACAGAAGATTGTTTCGACCTCAAAAACCAGATCGAGAACCTTGTTCGTAAAGGTCATTTACGCAAATTCACAACTGAAAATGGAAAAGGAGGCTCCAACCCAGCCCGAGAGGGCCGAGATGATCGCCCTCCTCAACACCAACCAATGGGTGAGATCAAAGTTATATCGGGTGGCTTCGCTGGTGGTGGTGAGACGAGTTCGGCTCGGAGGGCTCATACTAGGAGTATTCGGAGTTTTTCAGAGGTGAATGAAGTTGGAATGACAAGTCCTCCAACAAAATTACCTCGAGTTGAGGAGCCGGTCATAACTTTTTCTGAAGAAGATGACAAGGGAATTCACCAGCCCCATGATGACCCCCTGGGCATACGAGAAATTGAAAATTGGCCGAGAGAAGCTCCGACCCATGAAATCACCACTGGTGGGATTTTCAGGCTATAAAGTACATCCACTGGAGGCAGTTACATTTCCAGTTACTGCAGGAGCCAATCCAAAGCAGGTCACTGTAATGGTGGACTTTGTAGTGGTGGACTGCCCATCTTCATACAATATTATCCTGGGGAGGACAACATTGAATGCCATGAAAGCAATCACGTCCACTTACCATCTCCTGATGTGCTTCCCAACTGAATATGGTATGGGAGAGCTAAGAGGGGACCAAACAATAGCTCGCGAATGTTATGTCGCCTCTCTTAGACAAATAAAATCGTAAGAGGCATTTACGATTGAAGGGCTGGAAGGGAAAGATAGACCAGACTTTCATAGAGCGGAACCTACAGAGGAGCTAGAAGAGGTCATCCTTGGTGACGGTGAGCCCGAGAAAAAAGTGAGTATAGGGTCTTTACTCCCCCCAGGTATCAAAGATAAACTTACTCAATTCCTCAGGAAGAATCGAGACGTATTTACATGGGTCCATGAAGACATGCCGGGTATAGACCCCACTATCATGGAGCACCGCTTAAATGTAAATCCTGACTTTAAACCTGTCAGACAAAAGAGGAGGACTTTCATTCCAGAAAGGAATCAGGCTATATCAGAAGAGGTGGAAAAGCTCTTAAAAGTCGACTTTATTCAAGAGGTATACTACCCCGACTCGCTGGAAAATGCGGTCTTAGTGAAGAAGGCAAATGGAAAGTGGAGGCTATGTGTGGATTTCACCGACCTTAACAAAGCTTGCCTGAATGACAGCTTTCCTCTCCCAAGAATCGATATGCTCGTTGAGGAAACAGCTGGACATGAACTATTAAGTTTCATGGATGCATATTCTCGATACAACCAGATATCTATGTACACCTCAGATAGAGAAAAAATGGCCTTCATCACTGATAGAGGTTTGTACTGTTACAAAGTAATGCCGTTTGGGCTCAAGAACGCTGGTGCAACATACCAAAGGCTAGTGAATGCAATGTTTAAGCATCAAATTGGTAGAAACATGGAGGTATATGTTGATGACATGTTGGTGAAAAGCTTAAAAGCTGAAGACCATTTGACTGACCTGCAGGAGACCTTCAAGGTACTTAGGAGGCATAAGATGAAACTCAACCCCAGCAAGTGTGCCTTTGGGGTTTCCTCAGGAAAGTTCTTGGGATATATGGTAAGCAGAAGAGGAATTGAGGCCAATCCAGAGAAGATCCGAGCAGTCATTGACATGAGATCGACAAGATCAACCAAGGATCTACAATGACTAACAGGGAAGATTGCTGCCTTGAGTAGGCTAATCTCTTGGTCAACTGACAGGTGTCTACCTTTCTTTCGTGTGCTAAGGAATGCATTTGAATGGACCCCAGAGTGTGAGCAGGCGTTCAAAGAACTAAAGCAATACCTTAGTTCTCCCCCACTACTGTCTCGAACCATACCGGGAGAGGAACTATACATATACCTTGCAGTCTCCATGACAGCTGTCAGTTCAGCTCTGATACGAGAAGAAGAAGGGGTCCAAAGGCCAGTATACTTCGTGAGCAGAGCACTTAGGGGTGCGGAGGAAAGATATCCAATGATGGAACAGTTGGCCTTTGCTTTAATTGTGTCCGCCAGGAAACTGAGACCATACTTTCAAGCTCATACGATAGTGGTCCTAACAGATCAACCCCTTCGACAGGTCCTACACAAGCCAGAAAGCTCTGGTTGACTGATGAAGTGGTCAGTAGAGTTAGAAGAGTTCGACATTCAGTATAAGCCAAGAACAGCAGTAAAAGCTCAGGTGTTGGCTGATTTCTTAGCTGAGTTTACCCCTCCAGAAGAGGAGAAACAACCCCAATTTTTGACAGAACCAGGTTTAAGTGAGCAGATGGGCCCAGAAGTAGTCTGGGACTTGTTCGTGGATGGGTCATCTAATGTTCAGGTTAGCGGAGCCGGGCTTGTTCTTGTCTCCCCAGAGTGAGAAAGTATACAGTACGCACTTCGGTTTGGTTTCAACGCAACCAACAACAAAGCAGAGTACGAAGCCTTGATAGCAGGATTAAAAGTGGCAAATGCCCTAGGGGTTGAGCAATTACACCGACTCCGAGCTGGTCGCTGGACAAGTTCAAGCGGAATATGAGGCACGAGACGAGAAGATGAAGAGTTACCTACAAAAGGTGAAGGAATTAAAGAATCACTTCCAAAGATTCTCAATTCATCAAATACCACGAGAAGAGAATGGGAAAGCAGACGCTTTAGCCCGGCTAGCTACTGCATTGAACCTGAGATCAATAAAAATATACCACTGGAATATTTGGACGAACCATCTATATCTCAGGAGAGACAAATTGAAGTGCAACAAGCGATATTGAGTGTGGAATGGGTAGATCCTATCATCAGATATATCAAGGATGGGGTGCTACCAACAGACCGAGCAGAAGCTCGAAAGGTCAAGATGCGGGCAGTTAGGTATACGCTTATCAAAGGGGTGCTCAACAAGAGAAGCTTCTCCATGCCGTATTTACGATGCGTTTCTAGCGAGGAAGCTGAATACATTTTAAGGGAGATCCACCTAGGAGTTTGTGGAAACCATGCTGGGGGTAGGTCACTTGCTAACAAGGCCATCCGACTAGGATACTATTGGCCCACCATGCAGAAAGATGCACTTGACTTCATTCAAAAGTGCGACAAGTGTCAACGATTTGCCAATATCCCGAGACAACCGTCAGAGGAGATGACTCCCATGTCAAGACCATACCTCTTTCCCCCTTAAAAGAATGAAGGGTCAGCTTCATCTTCTTCCCTCGATAAAAAGATGAGGGGTTAACTACTTCCTTTGTTAAAGGGTGAGCTGAGTGAAGCTCATATTAATCTACTTCCCCTGTTAAAGGGTGACCTGGGTGAAACTCGTATTAATCTACTTCCCTTATTAAAGGGTGAGATAAGTGAAGCTCATAGTAATCTACTTCCCTCGTAAAAAGATGAGGGGTTAACTACTTCCCTTGTTAAAGGGTGAGCTAAGTGAAGCTCATAGTAATCTACTTCCCTCGTAAAAAGATGAGGGGTTAACTACTTCCCTTGTTAAAGGGTGAGCTGAGTGAAGCTCATAGTAATCTACTTCCCTCGTAAAAAGATGAGGGGTTAACTACTTGCCTTGTTAAAGGGTGAGCTGAGTGAAGCTCATAGTAATCTACTTCCCCTGTTAAAGGGTGACCTGGGTGAAGCTCGTATTAATCTACTTCCCCTGTTAAAGGGTGACCTGGGTGAAGCTCGTATTAATCTACTTCCCTTGTTAAAGGGTGAGATGAGTGAAGCTCATAGTAATTTACTTCCCTCGTTAAAAGGTGAGCTGGGTGAAGCTCATAGTAATCTACTTCCCCTGTTAAAGGGTGAGCTGAGTGAAGCTCGTATTCATCTACTTACTTTATTACGAGTTACGTGAAACTCGTCTTAATCTACTTTCCTTATTAAAGGGACGAGCCGACTAAAGATGTCAATAAAATCAAGTATAAAATAACGGTAGCATGCCAGCAGGGCAGCTTGCCAAATAATGGGAGCATGCCAGCAGGGCAGCTTGCCAAATAAAGGCAGCATGCCAGCAGAGCAGCTTGCCAAATAACGGCAGCATGCCAGTAGGACAGCTTACCAAATAAAGGCAGCATGCCAGCAGGGCAGCTTGCCAAATAAAGGCAGCAGGGCAACTTGCCAAATAACGGTAGCATGCTAGCATAACAGCTTGCCAAATAAAGGCAGCATGCCAACAGGGCAGCTTGCCAAATAAAAGCAGCATGCCTGCTAGGGCAACTTGACAAATAACGGTAGCATGCCAGCAGGACAGCTTGCCACGGCAGAATGGCATAGCAGCTTGCCACATAACGGTAGACTACCAGCATGGCAGCTTGCCACATATACGAGCTGCCAATGTGGCACTACGACAAATATACAAGCTTACCAATATACGACAAATATACGAGCTTGCCACATATACGAGCTGCCAATGTGATACTATGACCCCCGACTGTATTCGCGAAATGACAATATAAGTCAGGCTAATGGACAAGGCTCTGCAATTCTAACTATATATTATTGTGTAATATTTTGGAATTAACGTTCCGGTGGTTTGATAAGCGATCCTCCGAAACGGGGGGCAACTGATGGATGTATAATTTAAATATCTATAATTAAGGGAAGATTACTAAATTAACGCATTATTGAGATAGGCTTTGCAGATTACGATAAGGATTACAGATTGAGATAGGCTTTACAGATTACGATAAGGATTAAAGATTGTGATAAGGATTAAAGATTACGATGAGGATTAAGTCTATAGATTACAATAAGGTAATTCTACTTGACATTTTAACCTAAGCCCTATAAAAAAGGAGGGGGAATCAACGTTTGGAGGTACGCAATAAACCCTAACTCAATTTCTCGATTTCTCCAGGGAGATTATCATTCACACTGACTTGTTCGTCGGAACCTACTCCACCGGTAACACACCGGTGTTCGTAGGATCACTTTTTTTTTTCTTTATTCCGTAAGTCAGATCAGATCCAGGTTGCGCAGAATGCACCATCAACAATGTGTGTATTTGAAACATGGTTGGATGATTTTCCTTTTTTAAACTATTAGATCAATTTTGTATGAGCTTGCAATAAATTTTTGTGAATGGATCATGGAATTTTTTCGTTATGCTTATTTTTACTTGATTTAAAAAAAAAAATAAATAAAAAATGATGAAATACATTGAAAAATAGAATCCAATAGCTATCACAATCATAACAGCCACTATTGACTGTGACTACTCGATCTTCGAAATCGGGTAGGTACTACGAGGGTTGAGAAGAAATATTTGTGCAGTCACAATTGTACGTTAATATTGTCACTAAATTACACTATTCTTGTTTTTATCTTATATTTGAAAGATAAAAAAAAAAAAAAAAAAAAAAAAAGATGATAACATCAACAATTATTTAAAAATATATTATTTACAAGCCCTCAGTACTTATTATACTCCAACAGATATTCAAAAACCCTACCAATTTTTATTTTAATTTTTCTTAAAAACAACTTATGAAAATGTTATACAACTCACTAGAACCGAATAATTGTATGCAATTTTATTTATTTATTTTTTGTTGGTCTATTTAACAGCAATGATTTGCAGAACACTCTTGCACAACAGCAATCATTGACTACTAATTCCCAATCATTGAAATGTAACTCTCTAATTAAACAAGCAATCAATCAACTTTTTAAAAAACAATATCAAAGCAATTACAGATAATGTGATAAATTCAAACTATTTCATGAATAGACAACAAAATCATAGAAACCTTATTAAATAAAACCATAAGAAGTGTATACAATATATAAAATTTTGTTATTAAATTATATCAAATACAAACACATAATTTATATTCACAATGTAATTAATTATTATTATTATTATTATTTTTGATAATAATTCATCAAATGTTCTTGCGCTCTAATTTGATCCTTCTTCACTTTCTCTTTCAATCATGGAGGTGCACCACCTCCACATATTTCAACGGAGTTAATACATATATATATATATAATTAAACACACATTCTTAGAAAATGAATAAAAAGGACATGTATATTTTAGAATTCAGGTATATCAAAAATTAAAAACAAAAATATATTACTCCGTATTACTCTGAACTGGCTTAACGAGTTGAGACAGCAACACGAAAATAACACGACGTCGTACTAGTTTCAGACATGGTTGCCACGTGATCGTCTCAGTCACGTGACCAGAACGCACAAGCCGCGCACTTCAGTCTATTAACCTGAAACAATTCTTGCCGCCATTTCTGCTTTCCCGCCAAACAACACTACGATCCAAATTCCAATTTTGAAACAAACAGATCTCCCTCTCTCCGAAGTTCCGAAGTGCACGCTAGCATATTCAATCTGCAACCAGACTTTCCTTTCCTCCGATCACCACCAGTATTCAATCCTCTCTCTCTCTCTCCGGCGCACGTTAACATTTTCACACCGCAACAGCACTTTCCTTTCCTTCGATCACTACCAGTATTCAATCCTCAAAACTTCAAATCTCTCTCTCACACACACGCATATGGCAGAGCCTATTGACTTCTCAAAAACACAGCGCATAGTCCTCCTTATAGACCTCAACCCACTCCTCCACCTCCAAAACCCTAGCCCATACATCACCTCCATCCTCACCGCTTCACGCATCCTACTCACATTCTCTTCTCTCTCCACCTCTCTCTTCGCCTTTAAGCTCTTCTTCTCTTCTCTCTCTCCTCTCCGCTCCTCCTCCGCCCTCCATCGCCTTATCCCCAAACCCTCGGCTTTGTCTCTCTCCTTCAACGACCCTCCCGAAACCCTAATTTCTCTAACCGCAACCCTCAATTCTCTCTCCATCTCCACAATTTCTCCCGAATTGGCAAGTTTAACGCCCCGTGCTTCGCATACGGCCAGCTTGTTGGTTCAGCTCGTGCACGATTATGCTTGGGAGTCCCAAAATGAAAACCCATCAGGTACATTGAATAACTTTCCGATTGTTCGATCGAATTTGATTATTTTGCTTTCTCCAATACCTAGCTCTTTTCAATGTTTATCTGAATTTATGAATTTGGATATAAACGATGAAGCCTTGAGGCAAATAGATGCATTTTCGAAGAGATTTGACTATGTTTTTGCTGCTGTGAATGATGCTTATGTTGATAGAGATATTCATTTTAGCTGGATAGATATTAAGGATGAATTTGATTGCAAAGAAGATAAGAATGAGGTAGATGAGCCTATATTGCAATTAGGGTTATTTGAGAATGGGATTAGGAGGTTGGGTTGGGGCTTTTGTTCTACGGACTCGATTGTTTTGGGTTCGGCTCTGATTCCTTTTGGATTGATTTATCCGAGGATTGGGATTTCTTTTAATTTTCTGAATTCTAGTAATCTTCATAAGAGGGTTCGTGCACAATTGGGTCTTGAGATCTCTGATGTTAGTGGGAAGCCTTTGGAATGCAAGTGCTGTGATCTTGAATTGCTGAATATCAGCAAGTCATCTGGGATTAGATATGATGATATTATGCATTCCTTGGAACTTAGAAATTCTGAAAGTGAAGGGTTTGATCAATTTGAAAGATGCTGGGGTCATTTTAGTGATGGAATTATTAAGCTGCATGTGATGGGAGTGAAGAGGTATGGTGAGGGTGACAAAACCAAATTGTGCTCACACAATCACATACTAGTGCGAGGAATGTTGGGAGAAACTGGGAAAAGCAAAAAGAAATGCTCCAGCGGTTTTTTTGCAGATATGGTTCTTGAATTACTATCTAGGGAAACAGGGGAGTTTATTCTGAGGGAAACCCCTATCTGGCAAATTCTGCTGAGTTTTCTACACCGGGAAGGTTTATTGGCTCTGGTTTCCTTTTCGAATGGCAATGGAGATTCCTGTATGGGTATTCTAAAGCCTTTCACAGAATGTTTGGCTCTCCTCTCTATTATAGAGAATCAAAATGTGCATAGTTCTGTTGGTTTGAACTTTGCAAAGATAGGTGATGAGATTTGCAAATCTCATGCTGATATGAACAACTTAGTTGAAACAGTTGATTCTCAACTTGGGGCTTCGTCATCCCGAAATAATATGTCACTGGGGGATGGGAAAAGGAAAAAGAATGAGAAGCATTTACAACAGGACCTCACATGGAGCTCCTTCCATAAGGCAGCATTTGAATGCTCTGAGTTGGAATTGGAGAAGGTTTACTTTGCCATAAAATCTAATAACTCAAAGAAATTGAAGTTTTTGAAATGCTGGATGAAACAGGTCAAGAAATCTAGCTATTGTTGCCTAACCATACCAGATGGATCCAAGTCACATCAGCATGTTACAAAGGAAATAGATCAAAGACTAGCCGGGACAAACCAAGAAAGTGAAAGACCTGTGACTTCAACTAGATCATGTAGAACACAGCAGAGTACAGCTTTTCTTTCTCGCTCAGAAACTTCAGAGGCCTTCTTCAGTGATCTTCCTAAGAAAATCCAACAAGGCCTGGAGTCTGAAGGAGTGGACTTGCAAATTTTGGCAGAGCGTCTTGTGAACTTAACCATTTATTGGTTATATCAAAAGCATGAAACGGATAACAGTGTGGAGAGTCAAACCCCAGTGATAAAATCGGATGACACTTGTGGTGGGCTAGTTGCTGCTGAACTAATAAAACTTGTACTAAGGGACCCGAGGGAATTGAAGGAGTCACGCATGGATAATGATCCTTCCTTTCAACCGTATGACACAAGATCTACCAGTCTTGCTTCAGACAATATAGTTAGAGAGTATCCTTTTTTTTTATTGATCATTAATGCTTTGAAAGTCAGATAATTTATCTGTTGTCAGAAGATTTTGCTTGATTTATTGCAATGTTTCCTTAATAAGCAAAAGATATGAACTGCAGATTTTGCTACGGATGGAGATACTAAGATCAGAGGTTGCACAGAGTATTGAAGAGTCTGTAAAAAAGAAGCTTTTGAAGCAAATTTGCTCACTTTTAGAAATCATTCAATATCTTCTGGAAGGAGGCTGTCATGGTCATGTGAGCCTCTATGATTATGTGGAAAGGGCCATAACAAGCAGGTACATGTTGCTGTGTAAATCTTTGCCTTTTGAGATTATTATTATTATTATTATTTTCCTAGTTGATACTCACACACCTCCCCTCCAAGGAATTGTTTGCACCGAAGAGGAGTCGAACCTTAGACCTGATGCTTGATGAGGCACTAGGGCCAAGTGGACTTACCCACTTGAGCCAACTCCTTGGGGTTCCTTTTGAGATTATTGTGCTACAATATTTTGGGATTATTGCCTTTTTTTTTCTCAGAGCAAGTTAATGCAGTAAAACGACCTTTTTATTTTTATTTTTTTATTATTGCTTAGAAACATCTTCAACTCATTAATAGCTTCACTTACTGATTCAATAATGGAAAAATAAGACTTATAAAAAAAAAATGGAAAAATAAGCTACAATGAGGCTGCTCTCAGCAAGCTTGCGGTCGATGCAGTCTCTTGGTCAGATGGCTATGAGGATGCCTTCATAATGGACTTGCTCTATAATTAACAAATTTTTAAAAAAAAGTTAGTAGCAACGATTACCAAAGTTGTGCAACTCTACTAGACAATGGTAACAGACTGTCAAGAGCTTAATGCTAAGCCTGGGTATTGTTCTTTAACAAATCCTTTGCCTTGATCTTTCTCAAATCCCCTTTCCTCCTTGCGCTCTAAATCAAATTGATGTTCTTTCACGTGGATATGATTACTGTTTCAATTGCGCAGAGGATCTTTTTACTTGATTTAAAATTCTTCTAGCTTTTTGGTGGACAAAATGGAACATATAATATACTCCATCACCATATTTTGATGGGTTTGAATCCTTTAGTTTTTATTATATACTGTAATCCATAAGTGGCTGACATACCTTGCAATCTTATTCTGTTGGATGACACCATATTGCATTGGTATGTTTAGGGAGTTCAAAATCTGATTCTGAAGAAAAGGATTTCATGGAAATGACAATATATTTTAGGAGCACGATAGATTTTTTTCCCTTTCTTGTCTGCAGAATTGTACAGTAATAATTATCAACTTTTACAGATTCTGAAATACCACACATATCATGAGGAAGAAGTTGTGTGCTAACAATTGTATATTTTATTATTAAATTTTGTGTAAGTAGTCATAATTTTCTATATAGGTCAGATTTATAATTAAAACGATTTCCAATTACAATTAGGATTTGTAGGGTTGTTATGCCTGACCTGTGGAATGCCAAAAATTTTAAACATGTTTGGAAAGGATTTTTAACTCAATGGAGGGGCCCCTACAACATATGGAAGGTATAATTGGTTTCCCTGCGATCTGTATATTTTAGATTTCTGATGTTGAGCAAAATTTTCATCTCTTTTTATCCCTACTTTAGCCCATCATCCTTCCACCTATATGTACTGTACATAATTTTAAAGACTTCCATTTCCCATAAGACTTTTCTTTCATATACGTGCTCTATCTTTTTTGTTGTCCTTATTAGGCATCGAGGGAGAGGTATTAATTATTATTGTTTGTTTGTTTATTTATTTATCCATTTTTTTTTTTAGGGCGGAGGGGGGTTAAAGTATCTCATTATGCTGACATGCCTTTCGTGTCAGTTTTCAGTCCTGACCCCTTTGAATGATAGAAATTCATCTTAGATGGACACTATTATCTTAAATAAAAGGAATCCACATTCATCTGCATAGCTAGTTACCAATGCTTAATTTGTTGAAATGCACACTTTTTGTTTTGTTAATTGGTGCTGTGCAGAGTGCATAAGTGTCTGTTTCACTCTTTCCAATGACATTTTAAAATAAGAACAAAATTTGAAACACCCTTGGTGTGGGATGTTATGATCTTGCAAACAAACCTCGTTGGCCTATTATCTCATACCATTTTCATTATCACCTGAAGAAAAGAATGAAGAAAAGATGGATCAGAAATGATTCTAGAAACTGACGCTACTATCATGCATTAAAGAATATGACCGATGTTTTGTTCATAAGAAAAAGGATGACTTTCGGAAAGACTGGTCTATCTTCAGTTGCTCATGTCTTACTAATTTCATAATATTCAAGTAATTTATTATGGAGCATACTATTGTTACAATCATGATTCATTCTCTGTCATTGGTAAAGTCTTCATACAATCAGAGCCTAAATGAGGATTTTTTTTTATTTGATTCTTTCGAAATGATTATGAATTTTATCTTTTTTTCTGTTTTTGTAAATTTTTGTGCAAGCATCTCATTATTAAATGTCCGAATGCTTATATTTTCAGGTACTGCCATACTCTTGAAGATGTGATAGTAAGAATCCAAGCCCAAATGGATTTTTTACCTTTTGGCGATGAGAATGACTCCCCGAATCTCCTACTCAACAGTGAGGACAGTAACCAATCTTGGAGACATAAATCAGAGAGAGAGGAGATGGGCGAAACTAACAAAATTCATGAATCAATCTCAGTGGAAGACGAGTCTTCCCAACCAACAGAAAACAACGAAGAGAGTCCTCAACGGATCAAGAGAGAGGAGCATGCTCGCAAGTTAATTGAGGCTAAGGAGAGAAGAGAGAGGGCTCGGAGATTTGGATCTTTCACCAGTTGGGTGCCAGATTTGCAGAGGGTTTGGGCTCCGAAGCAGCAGCCTAGAGCAATGGGAACAAAGTCCGAGTCTCTTCGGAAGCAATGCAAAAGGAGAGAGCGAAGAAGAGCAAGTTATGATGTCGTATGTGAGACCCCACTGACCGGTAGAAAACGTTCATGTCCTCAAGGAAGCAGCATTGGTGACCCTAGTTCCGTTTCTAAAGCTTTGTTTCAAGATAACATGTGATACAAGGTCCAGCAACATAGGTTAACTTCTCCTTTAAGAAGGGGCTTGCATACACCTTTAATTTCGCCAATTTAGAATCTCATATGTAATAAGAAAAAGCTTCATGCGTGTGCAGTGTAACATTGCAAGCTAACACAAAAATTCAACCAAGTGACTGAAGTGATGTTAACCATATTTTTTGTTTTAGTTGTATTTAATAAGATATGTTAACCATAATGTTTGTACTCTGTTTCTGTCCTTTTTTATATGATATTATTGTAAAATGTTATATATTTTATTTTAACATCGAAGTGTTGTATCACTAAGTTCATAAATTATAATTCAGTTTCAGTTAGTTTTACTTGTTTCAGAATTTTTATTTTGTATTTTGATATTAAATTCATTTTGCAGTTCAGTTGTTACATGTTTTACTCTCTCCTTACTCTACATGTAACCCGCTCTCATTCATGAACCCCATCAAAAGCAATTAATTTGCGTCCAATCAATTTTTGCTTCATTTCTTAATTTCTGTAATCGAACATTGAAATTGGAATAATCACTTATTCACTTTGTCCTAACGATTGAGAGAGAAGTTGGTTGGCTACGTCAATGTGTTAACATAAGTTGGCAACGTACACTGTGAATATGGACCTCAGGTGCAGCATACTTACTATTATACATATTGTGTCGAGCAACTCGAGCCTCTTACATCATAATTTATTTCCGGACACATGTAATTTCTTTCTTCCATATTTACTAGGCTAGAAAAATTCTCAGAAAAATTCTTAGAATAGTCCCAAGGAAATTCGAGCTCTATGAGAATCTTAAATTGAACTTTTCGGGTTTACGTGACTACATATATCAAACATGTCAAAAGTTTTATAAACCCCAATTTCAAAACACTGAACAACTAATGACAGCCGTCACAAACCCAATTCGTCTTTCCCGCCATTTGCCAACAGCCTATCAAGTACAAACCCTACTTTCATCTATTGGAAAACCAAAATTCACCCAACAAAATAAAGCTCTTACTGAAGACATTTGTGGTGAAATCTTGGACAACAACCCAGATATAAGAACACTGAAAAAACTCCATTGTAGGATCTTCTTTGATCAGAATCTCCGCTCAAATGCATCCCTTGTCATCAAACTGATGAGGACTTATGCCGCCTGTGGCGAACCCGGGGTCACACGCCATCTGTTCGATGAATTTCCCTACAAGAATGTCGTCTTCGTTAATGTCATGATTAGAAGCTATGTGAACAACCATTTGTACCAAGATGCTCTTCTCGAGTACAAAAACATGTCTAGCTACAACATTAGTCCTGATCATTATACTTACCCTTGTGTCTTAAAAGCCTGTTCCGAGTCGAATAATTTGCCGGTTGGGTTGCAGATTCATGCTGCAGTTGTAAAAGTGGGACTTGATTCCAACATGTTTATCGGTAACGGTTTGGTTGCTATGTATGGGAAATGTGGTTGTCTAATGGAAGCTCGCCGAGTTCTTGATGAAATACCCCACAGAGATGTGGTCTCTTGGAATTCAATGGTTGCCGGGTATGCAAAAAATGGACAGTTTGATGATGCCTTGGAGGTTTGTAGGGAAATGGAACTGTTATGGGAAAAGCCAAATGCAGGTACCATGGCTAGCCTTTTGCCTGCTGTAACTAGCACATCTTCGGACAATGTTTCGTTTGTTAAGGAAATGTTCACAAAAATGGCTAATGAGAGTTTGATTTCGTGGAATGTGATGATTGCAGTATACGTGAATAATTCTATGCCTGCTGAAGCACTTGAACTTTATTCACGGATGAAAGCTCATGGGATACATCCAGATGCAATCACCATTGCTAGTGTTCTTCCTGCTTGCGGGGATCTTTCAGCTCTTCTTATAGGAAGGCAGATTCATGAATATGTTGAAAGGAGTCGTCTTCGACCAAATTTATCATTAGAGAATGCACTGGTTGATATGTATGCAAAATGTGGATGTTTACAGGAAGCAAGGGAAGTGTTTGAGGGAATGCGGTTTCGGGATGTTGTGTCATGGACTTCAATGATCTCTGCTTATGGTAAGAATGGGCAAGGTCGAAATGCCGTAGCTCTCTTTTCAAAAATGCGGGAATCTGGCCTCACCCCTGATTCCATTGCTTTTGTTTCGGTTCTATCTGCTTGCAGCCATGCAGGATTATTGGACGAAGGACGGTATTGTTTTACACTAATGACTGGAAAGTATAGGATGGTGCCAAGGTTAGAACATGTTGCGTGCATGGTTGATCTATTTGGGCGTGCTGGGCGTGTAGATGAAGCCTACAATTTTGTCAAGCAGATGCCAATGGAGCCTAATGAAAGGGTTTGGGGGGCTCTATTGAGTGCTTGTCGGGTTCACTCTAACATGACCATTGGGATTTTAGCTGCAGACCACCTGTTTCAATTGGTTCCCAAGCAGGCTGGTTACTATGTTTTGTTATCAAATATTTATGCTAGGGCTGGTAGATGGGAAGATGTAACGGCCATTAGATTAATCATGAAGGGCAGAGGAATCAAGAAAACGCCTGGTATTAGCAATGTTGAGCTTGATGATCGGGTCCACACCTTCCTCGCTGGTGATCGATCACATCCACAGTCCAAGGAGATTTATGAAGAGTTGGATGTATTAGTAGGGAAGATGAAAGAGGCAGGTTATATCCCCGAGACAGACTCTGCCCTTCATGATGTGGAGGAGGAGGATAAGGAAAATCATCTAGCAGTTCACAGTGAAAAGTTGGCTATTGCCTTTGCTATTATAAATACCAGGCCTGGGACGCCAATCAGGATTACCAAGAATCTACGTGTTTGCGGTGATTGCCATATTGCTGCCAAGCTTATCTCAAAGATTTCTGAACGAGAAATCATTCTCAGGGACACGAATCGATTTCATCATTTCCAGAATGGGGTTTGCTCCTGTGGTGATTATTGGTGAGCGGATGTGAAGTACTCCGCACTTGCAATGAACAATTCACGAAGCTTTGTTATGTGGTCACTGCAATTACTGTGATGAAGCCATTATAGAGTTTTTTTTCTATGCTACTGCTGCTGCCTTCTCATAAGCTTTGTGATAAACAGTTTTCTAATGCTGAAATCTTGCAGCTGAGGCACCAAATTCACTGTTACAACAAAATGCTTACCATACAATCTGATTCTAAGAGGACGTGATAATCTTGATCGTGATTTGGATTTTTTGACTTGATATGTATCCGAAAAGGAATGTAGACCAGAAATTCTGAAATTTCCAACCAAAGGCTTCTGTAATTGCACTCAGATAAAGCTTGAAGTGAAACATCAAGAATGGATTCAGAAATCAGATTTTTTGGTTTTTAAGCTAATGCGAATTTGTCCACTCATGAGCATCACACAGAATATCAGTTCAACAATGGGATCAACTTACAACTTCTTATCAGCAAAGGTAATGTTTTTTAGGTACTTGTATAATAGATTACTTTTATAAAAAACCAGTTGTGTAACTGGATAGTCATTTTTTTTAAATAGTATCTCCCTCACAATTTGATTTTGTCCCAGTGGGATCAACTATCAGCAAATCAGTTCTATGGTACTAGGTAATGTTTTAAATGCTTTAATAATTTATTATTGATTTACAAAATCAATCGTGTAACGAGATAGTAATTTTTTGTTTATAGTGTCTCCGTTACAAATTTTAAATTGTCCAGAAGCGAGTCATCTTTACTGATTGATTGTAAGAGGAGACACTTGATCTAAATGCATTTTCCATGTATTTACTTCCTACGAATCAAATTGTTCAAACCGAAAGCTTTCACATGAAGAAGTGAGTACTGTATGGTTTGCGTCACCTTTCACATTTTGGTTGCCATAAAATCTCGTGTGTCGTGGTGGAAGGGTGACTCAAGACAATGTTTGAAACCTGATACTATCATTTCTACTAAAATTATTTTTCCAATCGGTTATTCATGTGCTGCAATATATTTTTTTCCCTTCCATTCCAGAGCAGAATCTCTGTTCAATGAAAAGAATAGTCCGAGGCTCCAAGCTTTTGTAGAAGAGATAACGGGTACAGCCCTAGACATTGTGCACCATTCTTTGTCCCAGAGAACATTTGCTGCTTGGTCATTTTCTTTTCTCCGTCAAAGTCTGGATCATGCTAGCTGGCTTGGAAGGTAGCATATCTGGTGCCTGCAATTTACCGTTACAGTGGATGGTAATCTCCTCAAATCTTGTGTGTTACTTCCTTGCGATATTTATCTTTCACTCTGATGACTTCACAGAGAACTGATTCACAGTTTCATCACCTTCAAGTTAGGAGCAAAAGAAGACTTGAGGCTCTATTCAACAGTTCTCATAATCATCCAAATGAAGGAAAATTGGTTCATTTACTCAATTGTCTGTTTTCCATTGTCAGGTTGCTCTTCAGAATGTATAATTGCTGAATTTGTTGATCCTATCGAATCAAATCATAATACATGATTTTTTTTTTTTTTTCTCGGTGTATACAACATTTACTGATCCTACAGAAATTGACACACCTAGCATGCATGCAGAGTTCATTTTCCTAACACCCCTACAAGACAGTAACACCAAACCGGACGAACCTTGAATCTATAATTAAAGATGCTGAAACTTCCAGGGTATGTCGTTGTAGATGGATGTTGATCTTGACATCGAGAATAGTTCAGGCCAATACTGGGATGAGCTAGCCCGGTCACTCTCTCGGTTCAGTTCAACATTGAAGGCATACTCACCCAAAGCTCCACAATGTCCATTCTATGATGCTCACCTAGGTGGTACTCTCCCAACTATCTCTCTTTGATTATTTTTGTGTTCAATTTTATAACAGCAAGGCATATCAATTTTATACCTGATGTGCATGTCTCAGTTTCTTCTTTCCATTAAGACCACTCCCAAGTATAGTTCATCTATCAAAAGCAGTGTCCTAATTTCCTTCTAGATGGCATTAGATATGATTATATAAACTCAGTGCATTGTGTGAGGCAAGGGGTCATATTTATACAGTCTTGCCTCTGTATGCGGAGAGACTGTTTTCTTGTTTTGAACCCGTAGTCACCAATGGAAGAACCTGCGCCAAATGGTCCCCTTCATATACATATATACAAGGCACAGATTGTGTGCTGCATTGCAGTAATAACAATGTGGCGGGATCCACCACCTATGTGAGTACGTGTCAGTCTATGTGACAAAGTCTAGCATTGTTTTTATCAAAATTGTTGTTTTTATTTAAAATTATAAACAAAGATATATTCTCGAGATTCTTAAAACAAAAGCAATGTGAGTTGAGACATGGATTCCACCACTGAAATCATAGTAATGTCATGCAATGGGAGTCCACAAACTTCTCCGGACAGATGTATGATAATTCTAAGTTTTTAATTTATATGTTATTATAATGATTATATAGGATAAGACTATGATGAGATTATGCAACCCTAGCCCATGTATTATTTGGGTAAAAATACACCGATAGAAAAGGAGCCGCCCCATAAAGCGCGCCGGGATGATGGGCCTGCACCATTCTCAAACCCTATTGGATTAGCTTCTTTCATACATACTACATTTGACTTGGCCAGTTGTGAATTTTATTGAGAGACAGTCTCAACTGCGAGCTGGTCAAACGAATAAAGCAAACCCATTAACTTGATATATATATATATATATATATATATATATATATATATATATATATATATATGAGTTGTATATAAGTTGACATTCACCTTATTAAATTCCAATAACCAGGTGGTCCAGGTCCATGAATACGGCCCCTAATTGAGCCCAAATTTACTCAGCTCGGCTTCGGCTTCGGCTTCTGACCAGTCTAAATGCTCTCTCTTGGACTCACTCCCACTTGCGTGGAATATATATATATATATATATATTTTAGAACAGTGAATTTACTCTCTTTTTACTGAAAATACTTTACAATTTGCAAACAAAATTTTGTATTATATATATATATAAAATGATATGAACCTCACATGATTGGCATAATGGGTGAGAATTTGGGCCCTCATGTCTCATGAAATATCAAATCTCATATTCGAGTATTTGGATAAACAATTTATGTGAAAAAAATGATGTGATAATGATATTATTGACATTGTACTGTACTTCTTTTAACAAGTAAACTTTTGTATAGTTACTAGAAAACTAAACCAACCAAGACTAACATTCTTGAAATTGCTTTAAAAAATTATATGCATACTTAGTGTTAGAAAGCTATGCATACTTGGTGTTAGAAAGGGTAAGATAGCATGAATCAATGAATTTAACGAGGGTAAATTTCTGAATTTTGTCATTGATTCTCTACATTCCATAAAAAAAAATAAAGAAAAATTTATAAATACTTAACTAAAAAACTTAGATTCAAAACATCAATTAAAGGGACTAGAAAAAGAATTTTAAAACAATTTTTGATTTTTGAACAATGAAATAAGTTTAAATCAAATAATGAAAAAAATCTCAAGAAAATAGAATCTATCACGGCGGAGTTATATAAACAAATTTCTTATTTCTGTCATTTTTTCTTTCAATAAGCAAATCACTTCACCAGTTTAAGTACAACTTGGAAAGATGAAAAAAAAAGGTGATTATGGAATATAAAGGTTTCAAATTTGTTTAACAAATGGATATTAACTCGGATGGTATGAACCCTCATTTTCAAAGGAAAAATTAAGTGTTCAAGTCATTGGAGCAATATTACGAGTATGTGTTTTCTTGAACTTTTGAAAAAAAATAAAATAAATAAGTTATTTATTTTTGAAATGTTTAGAATATAATTTTTTTTTCTTTGAGGCTTTACAAATCCAAATTGACAAGATACTGAGCTGCAAATTAAAGAAGCCAGCAAGAACTCAGCCTATAGCTAAGGTTCAAAACAAGCCACAGAAAATGTGGCTTGTTGACTTCTTCTTACCAAAAAAAAAAAAAAAAAAAAAAAAAAAAAAAAAGGCCAAAACACCGCCTTTGCGACAAAGGCACAATAAAATTTCAACTCTTAAAAAGAAGTTTCCCTTCTTGTCCTTAGCACTATAAAAACACACAACCCACCTCACATTTTTGTACTACCAACATTCAACAATGGCTATCAAACATCAACCCACATCTCTACTCCTCTCCCTTGTATTCCTAGCCCTAGTCCACACCTCCTTCGCCGCTGGCATCGCCGTCTACTGGGGCCAAAACGGCAACGAGGGAACCCTAGCCGAAACATGTGCCACTGGAAGATTCTCCTACATCAACATAGCCTTCCTCAACAAATTTGGCAACGGCCAAACCCCCGAAATCAACCTAGCCGGTCACTGCAACCCTGCAACCAACGGTTGCACCATCATGGGTGACGGAATACGTTATTGCCAAAAACGAGGCATTAAGGTCATGCTCTCCCTCGGGGGAGGCATTGGAAACTACTCGCTAGCTTCCAAAGCTGACGCAAGAAACGTCGCACGTTATCTGTGGAACAACTTTTTAGGGGGACGTACAATTTCACGGCCATTGGGAAATGCTACATTGGACGGGATTGATTTTGACATAGAGCTCGGGTCGACCCAACATTGGGATGACCTTGCAAGATATTTATCAGCTTATAGTAAGTATGGTAGAAAAGTGTACCTAACAGGGGCACCACAATGTCCATTTCCTGATAACTTTTTAGGGACTGCCCTCAATACTGGCCTTTTTGACTATGTTTGGGTACAGTTTTATAACAACCCTCCTTGCCAATACACTTCTGGAAATGTTGATAACCTGAAAAGTTCATGGAAGGTTTGGACTACATCCATCAAAGCTAGGAGGATATTCTTGGGGTTGCCGGCGGCTCCGCAGGCGGCCGGAAGCGGGTTTATTCCGGCCGACGTGTTGACTTCGCAGATTATTCCGGTGATCAAGAGGTCACCTAAGTATGGTGGTGTGATGCTTTGGTCAAAATATTGGGATGATCAGAGTGGGTATAGTTCTTCTATTAGGAGCAGTGTGTGAATTGAATTAGTCTCTCTTTTTTGTTTGTTAGGTTTTGCTCTATTTTGATTTGAATTAATAAATTGGAAACTCTTTTATATTTTATTGAATGTGTATGACATGGTTGAAATGTTCAAGAAATCTGATTAATTTATTTTATTTTCCAAGTTGATTTGAAATTTATTTTTTCAATACCCAAAAAATACATATCTTATCCGAATCTTCTTCCATAATGGCAAGAACATCAACACCTTAATAATCACTTGTCGTCACGAACACAAGTTTAAATACAAAGTTGAAGTCATATCTAACACCGATTGGTCTTAAGAAAACTGGTGGAAGCTAAGATCGACAGAAAGTTCAGTAGGCAAGTTGATGCGAGACAGAGTCGAACTTAAAATCTTTTCTTAATATTCATTTTTCGAAGGAGGTAAATAAGTTATCCTAACATAATGTCATCCACCATTTTTTTTTTTTTTTTTTCAAAAAAAAAAAAAAAAAAATTCAATAAGGTATTGTATAAATTTACCAAGAAAAAAAACATTTGGTTTTGGTTTTGGTTTTGGTTTTAACCTGTCACATAAGAAATAAGGAATGGAATAAATTTAGGAAGGTCACAAACAACATGGATTTGGAAAATAAGTTCTAAAGCATGTAATCATGTGAAGGCATTTTTCTTAAAGCGTACTTGAAGATGTATAAGTATAATTTTTGAAGTAAAAACCAAAAAGAGTAGAAATACACTTCCATGGATATATATAGATTCGAGAAACACTTTGATCCGTAGTTCTTTTTTTCCTACGTATCTGTAGTTCTATTAAAATACATGATTTTTAAATAAATAAATAAATACCATTTTTAAAAAAAATAAATAATAAAACATAGTTCTATTAAAATACATGATTTTTATTTATTTATTTATTTATTAAAAAAATTAACCATTCACTTTTCTTTAAGAAGTAATAATAGCGGAACCAGTGATAGATAAACTTGTTTAGGCATTGCACGTTGTTGAACATGTCACAAGTCATAAGACCACTGGTTCTGCTATAATTAGGGTTCACAACAATTGAATCCAACACGAGTAGGGATGACAATATTTGACACGACACGCTAACACAAACAAGATAAGCGAATTTGGATTTGGACTAATCGTGTTCGTGTTATAATCGTGTCGACACGGATTGACCCGCTAACTAAATATGTCGTATTCGTGTTTGACCCTGTAAACACGATTATGACACGATTAACTAAACGTATCATAAAAGTGTCGTGTTCGTATTAAAAATGACCCATTTAGCAAAATGTGTAAAATAAATATCGTATTCATGTCAAAAATGACTTAAATGTGTCTTTTCGTGTCGTGTCAAGTCTTGATCAATTTATTAAACAAGTTATGCGTATCGTGTTGTGTTACACATATAATAATCATGTCGTATTCGTGTCAAGGGTCTTAGACACGATTATTAATCGTGTCGTGCTCGTGTTAACCCTAATCATGTTCGTGTCGTAATCGTGTCGACACAAACATGACACGCCAACACGAATTGCCACACTCCTAAACCCGAGTCGTGTCTGGGTTAAGACTTGGACTCAAATCCCTCCATCCGATTCGGACTTGGGTTGAGAGATATAGACCAATTACAAATGCACACGTATGCTGTGATAAATAAAGAAATAAAAAAGAATGATTGAATTTATTCAAAAAATTGTAAATTCATTAAAACTGCGTTCGACCTGAAACATTAGAATTAAAATTGAAAAAAAAATTATCCCACGGCTCTAATTCTATAGAGAACATAGACTAAACTACTTTTAGACAATGTTGGCTAACCCGTTGCTTCTTTTAGAAGTTGTTGGCTAACCCGTCCGTCAAGCGTACGGATTCAACCGTTTAAACATTGACATTGCACCGATTCAACCATAATTGAAACTTCAACTTGTCTTAATTGCACCCTTAAATACAATGGTTTTCGTTTAATATTTACGTGAAGTACTTGGGTGATTCGTACTTTTAAGAAGGGTGGGTTACATGCGTTCCCTATACAAAATTGTACCTAATCAGGGCAATTTACATAGAATCATAAAATGAACTGAAATACAATTAAATTTCCTAATATGCATAATTCAATGTTTCCTCCAAACTTAAATCCAACGTGTTGCTCAACACAACGCTGTTGCAGTTGACTAAACATCCATGGGCTTTGCACACACTATATCTCCACAAGCATTATTTTCTTTATGATCCAAACCATAACACTTAATAATGTTATAATTGACCAAAAAAAAAAAAAATTCTAAATCTGTCATCTCCACCCACTAAAATGGTGTCAGTGATTTCTCCTTGCATTTTTTTTCTTAAAATTTTAAAAATAAAATATTAATCTGTTTACTCTCCAAATCAAACCTGCTGCTCAATTCTGAGTCCAGGATCAGAACCAGTGACGTACCCAGAATTTTTTTTTTTTTTGGCGGGGTTGTATGTCCGTCCCTAACAAATCATAACGATAAAATAAAGCATTTTCATTTCTCACTTCCATAGGATGAACCAAAGACTTACCAGTGCTAATACACCATGCAAATCTGAACCTCTAAGAGAGAGTAGCAAACATAAAAAACAACCAGCCCTAGCTGATTAAGCCAATACCATCCTCAATGTTTGTTCTTTAAAACCAAACAAACTGTACTAGCATTAAATTCTTACAGTCTCCTTCTCAAAGTCCAGAAACATAATCAACATGCTTACCTAGGTTGGGGGATTTCTTGTGCATAACTTGTACCCAAAAGACCGACTCCATCCCTGAAAATTTTTGAAATAAAAATTTAAGCTAACACATTTTACGCAAAACTAAATCTGGAAACCTACAAAAAAAATTACTTAGTCTTCTGCTCCAACCCAATCGAAAACCTACTGAATCCACAGAATCTGCAACCCTGAATGTAATGCACACTAAAATTGGGAGTGGTGCACTCTACAATTGCTCCCAACCACGTCTTATGAACCTTATGCACTAAATGGGACATTCAATACACTAAAAGTGAACAAAGGATGGACAAGATTCAGACTGCTTGGTTTGATTAAAGTGAGAGACAACTTACCAAACTTAACTCGAACGTACTGAATTAGTACCGGTTATATGCTTTCCCATAGTCTTCATTCCTTTGACGCTGAAAGTCACCGTACGTGTCACGAGGTCTTGAAGGAGGATAACTTTCCATGTGGTTAGGGTACCTGCCCCTTGATTCCATTGGTACATTGGCTCCAGCAAAGTGAGAATTGCCTGAAGAGCTATCATATTCGGCATAACTAGGGTGCTTGTAACTACCAAACCCTGAATTGGACATCTGCTGGCGTGCCCACTGTTGTCTCCTTTGGCCATCGAGTTGAAGAAACTCTTCCCACTGTTTTGCATGCATTCCCCTTAGAACAACCAGTTTGTTCATGTAATTCTCCCTCAGCTCCCTAATGGCCTTAATCAAGTAGAAACCAATAGTCAGAAAATACAAAATTTCAAAAGACAACAAAAATCAAGGGCAGCAATGAAACGCATTTGTATTTTAGTTTTACAGATGTATGAAAACCCTAAGAAGCTTGTCTCAAAATAATCCTGGGGGTATAATACAAGTAGATTGTGAGAAAGATTCACACCTCACGATGCTTGTAGTTCTCTTCATCTTCTTCCTTGTCGCGAATTCTTCCAAGATCCACTGCTTCCCTCTTATGTTCCAACTCTAAATCCTCTAACACCTGTGGGAAGGCAGGGTTTTCAAACTTACGGCCAGATTGCAAGTCAGATCCTCGTCTTTCAGAATCCCATCCATCAGTCCTGTAGGCCCCCATGCTGTGCCTATGATCATCATAGGAATTATATGAGTTGCCAGTGTAAGGAGGACGTGCTGGAGATCTTGAATGGCTTGACCGACCTCTGGCTCCATCATTACCATAAGCTTCACCAAAGAGTGTATTAAGCACTTCAGTTCTAGATGTCTTGTATAGATGGCAGCTTTAATTATACATGCTATCTTAAATTGTCATAGTGAACCCATCTGAGGCAAACAAGTCTGGATATGCTTTCAGTAAATTATTTCATTTTCGAGACAATCCGTTCAATTCAGACCCACCCATGAAAGATACTTCAGAATCGAACACATAATGCTTGAACATAAGAACTTACCTCTTGCTGCAAACAAAATAATAAGCAACAAAATTTGTTATAAAAAAAAAAAAAAAAAAACACAGGTTAAAGTTTATGGGGAACTAAAAAACTGTGAGCATGGCTACCAGCTTACGATATACACTAACATATCCAAGGTAGTACCTACCTTTTGGAGAATTTCTTGATAGTTTCTGGAGATCCTCGCGAACACGGTTTTCCACAACCTTATCCTGTCTACCAAACCTATGATCAAACTGTGATGCAGAATTGGGATTAGACCTTTGAGAATCAGAGCGTCCCAACCGAGAACCAACAGGACTTCTCCGCTCAGGAGACCTAGACCTGGCCATGTGAGAACTAGAAGAACCCTTGTTGTCACCCTCTTCTTTAATTTTGTGCACAGCATCCACGCCTTTTTTCAAGATCAACCTATCCTTGCCACTGACAATAATAAATTTTTCCTCTACTTTGATTTTGCAGCCAATATCTTTTTCGATCTTGTATATCACTTTCTCTGTAAAAAGGGCTTTCACATGTTTTTCTCTTGCAGGCACTCTTTCAAAGAAATCTTGCGATTTGCGATTTGCTCCAAGGGTAGATGGGCACCCCTGTAAGAACATGTATCACAAAACCAAAAACATACAAGTATGAAAAAAAACAAAAAAAGAAGAAGGGGGAAACAAATAGGATATCAACAAATAAATTTGAAAGATCTGCCGTCAAGTCTTCTAAAATTTATTCCAAGATTCGGCAGAACGAAAATATCTCGTGCATGCACTCCTCTTAATGCTGATAGAGAATAACAATTAAGATATTTCATACAGATACCATTTTCACAAAAGTATAATAATGTAGATTGCCCAACCACAAAGATACTGTGTGCACAAGCACTCTGGTTGTGGTGTTCACTTCACCCTCACGAGCACTAAACAAAATTTCAAAGCTAGTTACAAAAACTACCAAGGGATCCAGTACACCCCAATCAATATAAATGCAATTAATTTGGGTTGTCAGTTCAATTGAATTTAAAAAAAAAAAGAAAAAGAAAAAATGTTTCCAAGTTTATCCCAATCTCAACTTGGATCCAAGTTAGTTTGTGTTATTTCCCATTGCCTAGAAGAGGACTTGGCAAGGCAGGAATACCTGCAAAAGTATTAGCAGCCTTAGACTCTTTTAGTGTCATAGTATGTCAACAAAAATATATTTTCCCCTCGCTTGGCGGCACCTGGAGACTTAAAAGCTACTGAAAACAAACAAATAAAATTGCTATTATGGTAAAAATGAACAAATATGTTTCTGCATGTCTAAAAACATACATGCATGATACAATCTACAATTTTTATTTTCATGGGACTTACTAAGAAGCATCCAAAGATAGCACTAATATACCTGAGTGAAGTGGCCTGATTCGCCACATATTTTACAGATCATCTCTTCTTCTTTCTTTTTCTTCCAGTTCCTCTCAGTTGCTTTAGATTTTGCTTCCCAAACTTTAGCTTCTCTACTAGTAAAATCAGTTGGGACAGCATTAGGATCACGGGGCTCCTCTTCCTCATCAGAATCTGCATGGGATCTTTTGTTCGTTTTTGCTTTGTCTTGTACATCAGTAGCATTTAATCTTGGAGGGCCAGTATACTCCTTATAAAGTTCACTAAAATCATCATCAATATCTGGGTCTGGTCTATTTGACATTTAAAACAATTAGCTATATGCAACTCCTGCATTTCCAAACATAATCCACATCAGCATCAGCAAAGGGAAGAGCAATAGAAATAGAAAAACAAACAAATTAAGAATTCCACATAAGCAGCAAAAGCTCATGTTAAGAATTTATTTTAGTACCTAAGTGCTCAAGCTAATCCAATATTTTCTGCTCAGAGTGCAAAAAATAGAAAATCATGTCATTAAACACCATAGGCTGCCAATAATTCGTGTTAATTGCAATGGTCCTTGTAATGCTTCTCTCTTTCTCTTTCTCTTTTTCTTTTTCTTTTTCTTAGATAAGTTCTTGATTTGCATAAGTTGTAGAGATTTTTAACACAACAGAAATCCAAACTTATATGGCCTATACAATAAGAAAGCAAATACTCAAATACGAAGATCCATGTCACGCATTTATGTGCAATTTGCTACAATCAAATAAGGCCGACTCCAAGTAGTTGGAAAAAGAGGCTTGATTGTTGTTGTTGCTACAAACAAATAAGCCGGTTAGTAAAAGGGAAACCTCTATAAGGGCTACTTATAAAATTTTACCGTCAAAATTCCTATGGTTTAAGTGCCAAAACAGTAGCATACAACACAATGCCTATATATGTTCCCAAAACACAGGAGATATAATCACCAGATTATTTTTGAAATGGAATGACTATGAAAGAATTATGCATTCCCAAACTGTCCAAATCTAGACAAGTGAAGTCATCGCTAAGAGTGATTCTTATATGGGTACGTAATATGTATGTATGAATGCCTTAATATCAAGACAACTCGAGATCTCACTCATGACAAGAGCCGTGAGCTCTCTATATTTAACCATTTAATACATCTATTAATCCAATGGTTAAATATGGAGAGCTCATGGCTCTTGTCATGAGGAAGCTCTCTTAATAGCATTACTCAAGTTCAAGCTATCCACAGTAAAGTGATTTATTCAAAGGGAAGATATCACTTGCTTCTACTAAGCTCCATTTGGTTTGAGGGATAGAAACATGGATGGAAGGGAGAGGGGAAGGGATGGATGAGGCATCCAATGAAAGGGAAGATGTCTACCTCACTTTTTGTTTGGTTGGATAGAAGGAATAGTAGAAAGGATGGATGGGTGACACTATTTTTTTTTTTTGGTTAGAAGGAAGGGAAAGAGAGTTATTATATTCTTTTCACCAATATACCGTTATTATATAAAGTTAAAAAAATCAGATATTTATTTCAAATTTTGGGAGGTTAAAAATGAAAATTGCATATTTTTGGTAATTATCCATTCTTTCTCTCTCCCCTTCCCCCCAATTTTGGGTGGATAGAACCCTCCTTGCTTCCTCCCTCCTTTCCTTCCCTCCAACCAAACATGTAAAAGTCCTTTTATCCCCCCTCCCCTCATCCATCACTCCTCAATCTCCAACTAAACATAGCATAAGAGTTCATGAAGTCAGATAAATTTGCTTGTGTTATATAAACAATCTTCTTCAGCCCTTGAAAAAGTAAATGTTACCCAATGCAAAATGTCAAAGCACCGTGAATCCTAAACAAACAGCATATGACAACAGAGGAGGAGGAAGATCTGCTTTTCAATTTTGATTTTTCTTAATCTACGGGAATGCTCAAGTATGACCACAATATTATGGATTCAATATCATTTACTAATTTGAATTCATTAATTGCTTTATCTCAGTAATTATGGTATAAAGATCCTCCTTATACCCTGGATGCAAGCATTCAGTTCTGGAATGACCAAAAGTATACTCTGGTTTGTTCTTAGTAAGTTAAATTTCCTTATCACCTCGCTTGAATGCTTTCTTCTACCGTTATAATTCATTCTGTTCTTCACAGGGGTTACTTAAGATAGAAGAGATCAAACCTCAAAAACTGTTTTAATATAACTCAGTATATATGGATATGGTATTGTGTTCATTCAAAGCATGCTTAATATAGTACACGTATTTTATCTTATCATTTTGTTGACTTGACAAGAAGAGATATTTTAATGGATACCGAAATGAGTAGAGAATACAAATTGGGGCCATGTAAGGCAGATCACTTAGTTTGAAAAAATGGGAGATAAGAGTACCTACTTGATCACCCACTATTGTTCTCTTCTCTTAATGTGAATTTCAAGTCCACATGTACATGACATAAGCACCTGTTTAATTAGTTCATACTTCTTGTCTTTCAATGCATCATCCTTTGCACCCACATTTCAGCAATTTGAGACATTCTTCACCTCCATCAACTATTCTCTGATCCATGGTTGTCAAAATCCTGATTTTGAGTCGTAGACGTGTGATTCAAAATCCAAAATCGATCCAAATCTTAGCAAAATCGTTCATTTGGTAGAATCGGGGATAGAATCATGTAGAATCGGGGGTAAAATCGTGTAGAATCATACGATTCTACAAAATTGGTTGTTTGGGCCTTTGTTTTTGGGCTGGTTTCTTTATTTTTGGGTTGGCTTCTTCTGGGCTACAAAAAAAAAAAGAGGCTTGGCCCAAGTATAGTATACAAAGTTAAATATTTATTCTGTAAAATATAAATTATTTTTCATTAGTGGCAGAAAAAGAAATATATATATGTATATATATCAATTATTTTTACCATGTAAGTCGATGTTCCATAATATATTTGTGTTTAATTATAAAAAATTAAAATGATCAATTATATCTCAAGGATGCATACTCGTGGCTAATAGGTTTAGGCAAATTTTGGTTTCATGATCAATATTCATTTGACTAATTTTTATTTTTATTTTTTTAAATGAAGGCTTATCATATATATTAAAAATTAAAAATAATTTGAAAGCTTAGAAGACTTGCCGGATATGCCAGCCAAGGTATATAATTTTGTAGTCTAAAGTGATAGTATAATGAGATCGAGTTAATATGTGGTTCATTAATTTTGTTGTGCTGACTCTTGATTAATTTCATACTTGTGACTAATAAGGTCACATACACTGTAACACTTGGATTGGTGGAGAAAAAGATCTTCTTATTTCTTCACTTTTCGAAAAAAAAAAAAAAAAAAAAATTCCTTTTGATATGTAATTTTAGTTTCTAACTTTGGAAATGGATGAGTTAGGATTTGAGATTTGTGAACTCATAGATATGTAATATTGTATGTTTTGGCCTTATTTTTGTTATATTTTACATATTTTATTGTTTAAGAAGTTAGTTTCAATTGATTTTTCACAATTTTGTAGAATCTTATGATTCACGATCCGATTCTGCGATTCCAATTCTACGGAGTCTAAAACGATTTTGCGTAGAATCCCGATTTTAACAACCTTGCTCTGATCAACTATGTTATCCCTTAAGCTTAAATCCCACAAAATAATTAATCCAGTAAACAATATCAATTGAATGCTTTCATGATCACTTGAGAAGGTCTATCCAGGTTACCTCATACCAATTCCCAATAATAATTAAAAATTAGGTGCACCAAAAAAGCTAGCCATTTTGATTTGAAGAGAGAAATACCAATTACCTAAACTACAAAAGCTAAGGGCTTGCTTGGTTTGACACGCAAAAAACATTTCTCAAGAACTCAAAAAAACATAAAACTATTTTTAAATAACTATAAAAGGCAATTATCTAAAAACAAATACTTTTTCACTCAGTTTTTTTCATAGAGTTCTCAAAAACTGTCAACTAAGAAACCAAGTGGGCCCTACAAATCCAGAAGATCACTGTATCTAAATATTGATAATAACCAGACAACCCAAACCACCAAAGAATCACATTTTATAATTCAAATCAACATAATGAAATTTAAAGCAGAATTGAAATTGAAAACAACACTTGATAAGATTTTAGCAGCAAAATTTTACTCAATCATAGAACCCCATATTTGTTTTTTTTTTTTTTTTTTAATTAAAAAAAAAAAGAAAAAAAGAAGAAGAGAGAATTCACAATTTTTTTATTGACATGCAATGAGGGGTACAGCGACTATCAATTTATCTAGGTGGTAATAGTTGTGTGAATTCAAGCTATAGTAGTGTATCAAAGAAAAGAGTGGGAAGCATTATATATACAACAATTATAAGAGAATAAACAAGTGAGAAAAAAATATATATATCTAATTCATTCAAGAAAGCAACCTCGCGGAAGAAGGTGAAGATGTACCGGGATGAGTGAAGGCTTCAAGTGCCTTTGTCACAGCAAATATAGTTCAACCTCGACTGCTTGCTGCGAATACATATTGTATCAATTTAGTAAAATAGCTTGTGAAAATCAATGACAGAAAGCTGAACAAATTGAAAAAGGAAAGGACACATAACCCTAATCTCAGAGTGAACATTCACATTAAAAAACCTTGAATTTTAGATGGAGAAACCAGTTCTCTCTTTGAATTTGTAATATTTTTTTTAACTTGCACAACTATTGTGAATCAAATGGAAAACAAAACACTTATATGGAACTTGGATGAAAATCAAAAGAAAAAGAGTTACAAAAATGGGTTTTGCTGCAATAGATTGAGAGAGAGAGAGAGAGAGATGGTCTCACGATGCAAAGTTGAAACAGCGTTCAGCTATGGAACGACTGACTGCAAATGTAGAGAGGTAAAATTGGTGATGTAGAAGCGTCGCTCGCACGATGACATTAGGGTTTGTTGGTTGCAATTTATCCCTTGTAAATTGGGCTGGTTGAACGGGTTGAATTTGGTATCCACATCCACCATCTGGTGACTCACTCTCGTTAATTATTCGGGTCTGCGGTATTCTGAATATTTCTGAGTCACCCAAATCCGTTTCACGTCCGGGTATAGAGCCAGACTTGGCAACTGAGCCCCCATTGACAAATCCGATAGCATGCGATACAAGAATCAAGAATTGAGTTTGATTCTAATACTAATTAATCAAGAATTGAGTTTGATTCTAATACTAATTGTAAAGGATAGAGTGTATCATCATTTGATAAAATAATAATAATAATAATAATAAAATAAATAAATATTATTGAGTGGTGTTAACACTTAGGATATGTTTGGTACGGTGGATTTGAAGGGGTTGGATAAGATTAGTTATGAGAAAAAGGAAAGGAAAAGGAAGGATTATTTTAATAATAAATTTACTATTATATCCTTATTATTTATATATATATATATATATATATATATATAGTATACCTGCAAAAAAAAAAAAAAAAAAAAAAAAGCGCAAATCATTTCAGCTCCCCATTCTCGCCTCCATCCCCATTATATATATATATATATATATATATATATAATAAAAGGAAAGAAACAAGAAAAGGAAAGAAAAATTTCTTTCTTAAACAAGGGCGATCCAGATCCGGCTGTAGCACCTTCGTTCTTGAAGGTTCCGATCCAGGGCAAATCATTTAAGCCTTCCCAATCTCGGCCTCCATCTCTATTATCGTTCTTAACTCTCTCTCTCTCTCTGTCTACAAGATTCAGAAGTTCAAAACCCAAACCCATATATTTCAGTTTATCTTTCTGTCGGCAAGAATCAAAAATTCAAAATCCGTATCAGTATATCAGATTGTTCAGAAAATCAAAACCCATATCTTTCAAGTTTCCATCGTCGCTGTTCCAGTTCGGGTTAGCCATCGCCGCTGTTCCAGTTTGGGTTCGTCGTTGCCCGCCGTCTCTCCATTCTTTCTGCAACTGCTATCTTGTATGTATATTGATTTGAGGGTAAAATTGGCATCATCAACCATTACCTTCTCTTTTCTTCCATTTCCTCCCATTTTTGGGAGGTTAAACAAATTACTGTGGAAGGCTATGCATAACCCTCCAAACCCTTCCCTTTCCTTCCCTTCCCTTCCACCCATTTTACCCAAACACAGTTTTTTAGTTGCCCTCCATCACCTTCCCTTCCCTTTCCTCCCATTTCTACTCTACCAAACTGAGCCTTAATCTATATATACTCAATTATTTTTTCACTCGGATTCGATGAGAACACCGTCCCTCTAACACTTACAATGTAAACTCTTTCACGTGGATGACTTAACCCTTTAATATAGTTTCCACACTGATCTCTATGCCATGATGATCATGCCTACTAGCAAGTCCATATCCGAATATGAGTATGACGCGAAATGGACCGGACTATTAAAAATATATACACATATGACAGGATTATAATATTATAAGTAATTAAAATAATTATTATTCATTATAAGGTAAAGTGTAAAAAAAAATCCTTAAATTATGAGCCAATTAGCAACAAACTCCCCTAAGCTATAAAAGTTATAAATAACCACCTGAAGTATACATTTTTCTAGCAGATTGCCCCATCCGGTGGTTTACCGGCTGAATCTCACCGTTAAAGTGATCATACGACCTCACATGACACACAATATATATTTTAATGATTATAATGCCCTTGTGAGTTTGAAAAGACCATGATACCCCATTCACTATGCCTCACACATAAGGGGAAAACACTGTTCATCTTCTTCGGATATTTCTGATCAATTAAAAAAAAATCTTGCCGACCTTAACGCATACTCATCCCGCCGGCTCCCTTTTGTCTTCACACTCTCTGCCGTCTATACACAAAAATCAATTAATCGACCATGACATTGATCAGTTTTTTCTTCTTGGAACCTGATGTTATAACCATTTGTTTGATATTGTCGATCCCGTGATTAGAAATACAATGGATGTAAAGCATTGCTATCAAGTTTGTTTGATAGAACCAGTATTATTTTTCAGTAGATATCTTCCCTGCGAAACGAATTTGATGGCAAGACACAGGGACGGTGGCTTTGGAGAAGATGAAAGCGAGTTCAAAAGCAGGACTAAAAACCCCCCACCAAACATGCCCTAACATCTTTCTCTCATCTTCCCAAAAATCCCTATTCCATCTTCCTCGATCTGTCACTCGACTGAACCTATTCAAAATCTTTTTTTTGGTCTCCTAAAACACATGGTATTGAAAATCAATCTCAATAAGTCACATGGTATTGCAAATCCTTCTGACAGAGGACTACCATCATTACCATGTAATAGGAAAATAAAGTATTGCAAATCCGTTTCAAATGGGCCAATAAAGAAAATATGGTGAATGGTGTTATTATTAGTCTTGATGGCTTTGGGAGAGGAAAACTATCATCATTTATCAAGACTGAAGCTTATCACTAAAGCTCAATAACTGCAACAAGAAGGAAAAAGAGTCCACCTTGAAAACCATTTTCATGATTTAATTTTTATAGAATCAAAATTAATTGATTTAGGGTTCAAATATTCGAGTGATTAACTTAGCTTAAAAGTCCTTTCCCAAAAACCACTATCCTTCCTACCTCGTCGGCACGGGACCAAGCCTACGATTGTTGAAGCTATGCCTCTCCGGCCAAAATCTCGTACCAATGAAATTGAATATCAGATTCAACCCAAAATTGAACTTCAACAACAAAGCACTGTCCATTAATTTTTTACCTCAAAAACTCCAGGGATCTGTGTGGTTTGTAGTTGCCGAAATTTTTCTGGAATTATGGTGACGATGCCGGAGAGAGATTAGAGATTTTGTGCCTCCAATGGTGAGAGCTTTACAGAGAAGTCTGGAAAAGTGTGGATGATAGATTAGATGAACAGTGCTTGTGATTTCGGAGAGAAATCTGATAGAGAAGTATTGATTGGGGTCAGTTACGCGTTGAGTCGGTTTTTGTCGGCTAAACTAGTCGGTAAGTTATATCATTTTTTTAAAATAAAATAAAAAACCCTTATCTCTTGGGTGACAGTTGTCACACTCCCATTGGTTATTTAGAGTTTACTAAGCCACATCAGCAACTTAAGAATGTAATGTTTAAAACTACATCGTCAAATGATCCTTTTTTCGGTGAATCAATGGGCTAAGTTGTAACAAAACAATAATTTAGAGGATCTTTTATAGTTTAGGGGAATTTTTTGCATTTTACCCTTCATTATATTCATATAATCATGAATGAAATTGCCAATTTGGAGCTTAGAATTTTAAAAAAATTGGGTCCTATTTTCTAAATATTTAAATTGCATTGAATCCCAACTATTTCAAGAGAAAAAAAAAAAATAAAAAAAAATTCAAAACCACCTCATCCTGTCCTCAAACCTATTAATGTCATGTGCCAATTGCATCCAACCAAAAAAATAAAAAATAAAATTCTGTACTCAAATTTCTAGATACTTACCATTTCCCTATGTGAAGTGTCCATGCTTCTTAAGATAAAACCCAGTGCAAAACGTTTGTCTTCCTTCTCCTTTTCTCCATCCATTTTTAATTAATCAAAATCTTTTACATCATAATATGCACAATATCTCCTTCCTAAAGATTAGAAGGGGCCATACGTTATGCTTTTGGGAAGGAAAGTCAATAACCTGTATATTTTGTTAGAAAATACTATGTTAAGTGGAGCAATTGCAAAGACAAAATGAAAGCCTCTTTCGAGATCTATTAAAGGGGATAATCAAGAGCAGCAAGAGAAGGAAGAAGTCTTGACAGTTGCAAGAGCATCAACCTTTATCCCAGAATTAAGAAGAGTTTGATTTGGAGATATGAAAATAGATTCTAGGTTCAATTATTTGAACTTAGAATTCGCTAGGAATAGACAGGTGTGATAGAACGGCAAAGAACGACAAAAAGGAAGATGTTAGGTTTAAGGTGGAGAGATTTTCGATCAAGGTGGAGCTATGGGGTAGTGCGTGACTACTGAATTTGGGCTCGTTAAGTTTGTGACTCAAATTCGTGTGGGATGATATTCCTGGAGTATTTGGATCGGTCCAACTTTTGTGGACCGGTCCAACAACCCTAGAAATTAAATGTGAAAATTGTTGAAGGCTATTGGAAAAGTAAGTTGGGTCAGTCCAAAGTGCCTGATATATGTTAAAAATAGTTTCCTATTCCATTTTGGAAGTCAGAAGACTTGGGAGAAGAGGTTAAAGATTTGAAAAAAAAAATTGTGACATATTAGGGTGTTATTTTAGAGTAGTGATTGATATGATAACTTCTTATAAGCAAATTGTGAAATTTTTATCCAACAAGGAATTAGGTTTAAGACACTTTAACTAGAGATGGGAGTGAGAGAAAGAAAGAGATAATTGTAGAGAAAGAGTGAGTGGAGTTTGTGAAGAGAGAGAGTGTGTAACTAAAGTATAGAAATAAAGATAGTCGTTCTTCATCTGTGGACGTATATAATTTGCCGAATCACTTAAATCTAGTCTTATTTGTGTGTGTATGTGCCTTTATATGTTCTATTTATTATTAGTGTGTGCGATCAAAAAAAAAAAAAGATTTATGAGATCCACAGATGAGTGACTTATGGTTTTATTTTCATTGCATTCGGTAACAGATGAAATTGTACCAGTTGCAAGTGATCAACTCCAATCATATAGTAGCAGCAGCAAGTGATGAGTTCCATTCATATATATATATATATATATATATCAGTAACTCTTAACTCTCATATTCAAGAAATTTAACCAGTCAACAATCAGTACTAGAATCTGAAATCTAGCTCAAATTAAGAGAAGATAATATGTATTACTTTTAAAAATTGCAAACAATTTTACAATTGGTATCAAGTTCAGAATGTCGACCAGTACAGATGTTAGAATGTAGAATGTATTTTCAAACTCAAGATGGTTTCATTCAATCCACCTTGACTTTGAGAGGGGCTGTTAGAATATATTCTACAATATAT